AATTAAAATTGTCCTGAAAGTTCAATTAGGAAATTGCCTTATAATTTTGCAACTTTTGGTTCTATGAGGCTTGTCTTTAGTTTGAAATCTCATTCATGTATAAGTATTCCGTGGAACTTAAAATCCGTTTGTGTCTGTCCGTCCATCCGTCCGTCTGTCTATCTGTCCATATGTGTCTCTCTCCATCCATGGGCAGGTCTTGCTTATCTGATCTGCCGTTGTCTGACTGTGCTGCCCTAACTTTTTGTGCTTCAACTTTCACGAGAGAGATTACATGTTTGCTGCTTCTCATCCTGAAAGCTTTTCTTAACTTGAATAGGCACGGGCAGTCACTACATTGGCCATGATTGATAGTGTTTTCTTTCTAAGCTGAAAATTTTGGAGCTCTGCTTTCATCTCTTATGTTTCATATTATCTCCAATTATTGCACCAGGTGGAGGCCAATAATATGTAATGCCAATCTCATGATTCAGCAATTTTCCGAACCTAATAGTAGTTGTGTTGAAAGACAATTTTATCAAGAGCTCAGCTTAGGTTTGACGAGTAGCACTTATATTCCATGTCTAGTGCAATCAATTCTCGAGACTTAATTTTCCGATCAGGAGCCTACGGATTAGTCGCTGATTTTCACTCATATCCAATGTGATGGATCTTGATTATGATTCTTCTTCTTCAGGCGCTTGCTAAAGATTCCAGGAAGTAGAGCAAAATTTTGGCCTGCGATTCCATCCCGGAGAGATCCTGAAGGTCAAGCTTGGATGATGACACCTGCTCCTCTACGATGATTCAAAGTGGCGGGTCATTTCTTTTAACCCTGAAACTTCTGTAGGTCCTATTAGATTTCGGAGTCCTATAGCGCATAAAATTTCAAGTACGTCATGGTAGTCGAGCTCCTTTAGGGAGAATATGCGATTGGCTTCTTGTATGTCAAATGTATTTCGTCGAGAGCTTATATCAGATGTTTGTATATTCCTCTCACATGTATGTGTAGGTTTACCGAAGGAAAGATCGCTCTTTAGGTGTTACATTAGTCAGATGTAGATCAAGTAGTCGTGCATCCTCAGCCGTGTAGCTCTACGGAAAGGATCCTATGTGAAGCGCTTGTCGCCTGATGCGGTGCTTCGTAGATGTATGACTAAATATCATGAGATGGCATGCTTCTGTTCAATTTTTGTGATTAGATCACTCTCTTCAATTTGAGTTTCTGTGCGTTTACAATCGACTATAGAACATTGGTTTTTAACTGAATATAGAAAGAGGTGGTAGTGCGGCCAATTGTTTGATGGTGCAAATGCAACTTAGGATGTGTTTGTTTTGGTGAAATTTTTTTCCGGGAAAGTGTTTTCTGGACTTTCATCCTCCGTTTGGTTGTCCGAAAATGATTTGGTCAATCGAAAACACTTTCCAGTCAAAAAAACCATTTACGTATAAATTTAGGAAGGTGAAAATATTTTCCGTAATTGATTATCTTAAATTTGTTAATATTTTATTTTTCTGTTTTTCTTTTTCTTTTCTTAATCTTTTTTTTTCTTTTTCCTTCTTCCTCCCTGTGCCGGTCGCCGGCCTTGGCGGCTGGCAACTGGCCATAAGCGTGGGTCGATGATGGCCAACCTCAGGCGAGGCCGAGCTCGCCAGATCTCGACGAGCTAGAGTTTTGCCAATCTCAACGGGGCGAGCTCGAGTCTTGCTGGGATTTGGCGAGCTCGAGCTTGCTGATGTCGTGCGAGGCCTGACCTCGCCGCTTCCACCTCGCCTAGACCTCGCTGCCTCCACCTCGACAGGACCTCACTGCCTCCACCTTGCCTCGACCTCGCCTGAGGCTAGCGAGCTCGAGCTCGACCGAGGTCGGCGGGCTCGCGGCTCGCCCGAGGTCGGCGGGCTTGTGGCTCACACGAGGTCGGCGAGCTCGAGCTCGCCTGGGGTTGTCGTCGATCGGTCGATCGATCGCGGCAGAGGAAGGAGGAGAAAGAAAAGAAAAAAAGAATTAAAAATTTTATATTTTAAAAAATAAAAATAATTTAAAAAAATTTCGGAAAATCATTTTCCTTTATCATTGAGTTTTTCGCGAAGCAAAAGCACCCTTAACTTGGATTTTTGTTTTTTTTTTTTTGGTTTTTTTTTCTTTTGTACGTGGATTTATAGCTTATAACTATATATTTTAGCCAAAGGCGGGTTTTGTCTCACTTTCAAATTTCCCATTTAGCCAATGCATATTGGATTTTAAGAGAGTAAAGTAAAATTGGACAAAGAAAAAGGATCAAAGGATTTTTTTATTAAAGAAAAAGTTACACTTGATGAAATTCTTTAATCATTCGTGTGGTATAACGAGCAACTTCTTCCTTTTCTCATTTTCTTTTTCTAAATTTTGATTAACCTTTCGTTTTTAGTTATTGAAAAGATAGCGAAATGTTCATTTAATGTTTTTGTTTTTGGATAAGGATTCCATATAGTGGTAAACAAGAAAAAAATATTAAATATTTTATCTGTGTATCCAATCAAAGTTATTGATTGAATACCTGATCAAGGGCCCTGCCCGACCCGACTCGCCCCGCCCCGCCCCGCCCATGTCGAAAGGCCTCGAAGGGCAATGTCGATCAGGTTTGGCCAAGTCATTTAAACTTCGTTTGTTTCGAGAAAAATGAATGGTTTGAAAAATATTTTTCTGATAATGATCGCTTGTATCGTTTGAAATAATTAGTCAATAAAAAATATTTTCATTAAACAGCTTAGAATTTAAAAATAATTGACTGATCTCGTAATACTTCACTTAACGAACCCTACCACCATCCTTGATGAGCCCTTAGATTTTATCACTTATGCTTCAAGCGTTTACAACTTTGTTTATTTATTTTAGGGATTAGTGTACTAAAATTCATAAAATTTGTCATGAAAGTGCAATTGAGTCATAAAACTTTCGAAATGTGCAATTAAGTTTTAAAACTTGTCAAATTTGTACAACCAAGTCTTTCTATTAACTCTGTCCAATTTGACTAACTGAAAACGCTGACGTGACTTTTTTATTATTTTTTATGACCTATGTGGCTAAAACATGATAGATAATGCCAAAACAATGTCGTTTTGTCGGATATTGGAATTTAGAGAAAAAGTTGATTAAATTGACAAAATAGAAAAATTTAGAACCGAATGACATTAGTACTATAGGTTTGAAATTAGTTTGATAATTATCCCTTAATTTACTTATGAGATATTAAACCATAGTTACCAAACTCTAATTATCGCACCAAGCACGCATAGAAGAACGCGGCCATATTATCAATTATTCTGTCTTGGCCAAATAACCAAACTACATCGGTTGACTTTTTGAATGGTTTTTATAGAATTTTTTTATTCTCACTTAGGCATATTTCAGGACTTGAGTTTTTATCTAACTTTTTCACGGGACAAAGAAATCAAATTAAATGGTTCAATTTGAGTTTCAGTACCTACTCTACGAAAAGATTCAACCGCCAAACTTGCTCAAATGTGAAAACTTACCCAAATTAGGAAATCGTCCAAACTAGAAAACCTATTTGGATCAGGTTTTCTATACGAGTTTAAACTTAAATGTATTATCAATAAAGCACTAAGTAAATTGTTGTAAAGATGAACTAAGTACACCGGTTGTATATTTTTTTTGGGAAAATGACAAACAGTTCCTAAATTTTGACCCAATGTGATTCTTGAACTTTTAATTTATTCAATGTGGTCAATAAGCTATTAAATAAAATAGGCAATACATTCAAAGAAGAAGGAATGCTTTTTTGCATAGTTTATATAGTATAGAAAAAGAAAAAAATCGGTATCTAATTTGAATAAATGCATGATTTCAACATAAATAAAGGGGGGATATGGCGAAATTGGTAGACGCTACGGACTTAATTGCATTGAGCCTTGGTATGGAAACCTACTAAGTGACAACTTTCAAATTCAGAGAAATCCTGGAATTAAAGATGGCCAATAATAAGCCAAATCCTGTTTTATGAAAACCAACAAAACAATAAGGGCTCATTAAGGGAGAATAAAAAAAAAGGATAGGATAGGTGCAGAGACTCAATGGGAGCTGTTCTAACCAATGGAGTGGACTACATTGCATTGGTAAAGGAATCTTCTTATCGAAACTCTTACTTAATATGCAATATGGTCCTTGAACTTTTAATATGTTCAATATCATCCCTGACTTTTGATACATATTTAATTTAGTCTCTAAATTATATGAAAATATTCAATGTTGGACTACATCAAACATTTTCATATAGTTCAGAGATTACATTGAACATGTACTAAAAGTTAGGGACCACATTGAACATTAAGCTTAAATTCAGGGATTATATTAAACAAATTAAAATATCATGAATCACATATCACATTTGGCCAAAGTTGAGGGATTGTTTGTGTCATTATCTTTTTTTCTCATCTTGTGTGTGTGCGTGTGTGATGTGAATCAGAATCCCATTCATAAAAATTAACAAGGTAATTAAGTGGTGTAATCTGGGTAACTACAGACATCAACCGGCATCATGTCTTATTGAGGACAATAATCTGATACTGAATCACTAAAATGGGGAAGACAGATTTTCTTCCTAAAATGATCCAATCAATAATGTCAAAATCCACTTGTGGGCTAAAACAACCTGCAGTCTAATTAATTCCACATCATTTTGTCATTAAATTCAGTTCCGCATTTGATAATATTCTACTTCTACTTTTAGTAGATTACCTACTTAAACCCAAAAAAGAAAAAAAGGAAGAAAAATTGGTTTAGATACATATACCCTCCCCCTCCTAAGAATCGCATGCAAGAGAGATAGAGAGAGAAAGGGGTGAGTATGGTCGATTTCAAGAGATTACCTTTTCTCGTTAATTTTGTTTGGCATAATTTAGAGATTTTTTTTTACTTTTGCTCCAGATTTTAAGCCGATTTAAAAATTCAGGTTTTGAATTGATGTTCTTTTTGTTCTCTCAAGTTCGACAACGATTAATATATGGGCGTCGAAGGTAAAATGCGCGCCAGCGTAAAGCCGAAGCCGGTCGGTGTCGACGCAGCTGATACCAACGTCAAGGGCATGTCGCCCCTTTGCGACCGCGCCCCTTCCGAGAAGCCACCGTTCACAATCGCTGACCTGAAGAGAGCCATCCCTCCCCACTGCTTCCGCCGCTCCCTCCTCCTGTCCTCTGCATACCTCCTCCTCGACCTCGTCCTGATCCTCCTCCTCGCTGTCGCCGCCTCCTCCCTCATCCCCCTCCTCCCGCAGGTCGCCCGCCGCCTCGTCGCTTGGCCCTCCTACTTCTTCCTCCAGGGCTGCCTCCTCGTCGGCGTCTGGGTCGTCGCCCACGAGTGTGGCCACGGAGCCTTCAGCGAGCATCGCCTCGTCAACGATGCTGTCGGGTTCCTCCTCCATGCCGCCCTCCTTGTCCCTTACTTCTCCTGGAAGTACAGCCATCGCCGCCACCATGCCAACACCGGCTCGCTCGAGCGCGAAGAGGTGTTGCTGCCCTGGCCCAAGGAGAAGGTCGAGTGGTACTACAAACGGTTCAACAACCCGCCCGGCCGGGTCTTCACTATCGTTGCTGCGTTGCTCTTCGGGTGGCCGTTATACGTGAGCATGAATGTATCCGGCCGGCCGTACCACCGGTTCGCGAGCCATTTCGACCCGTTCTGCGAGATATTCTCCGATAGGGAGAGGGTCCAGGTCATGGCCTCAGACTTGGCGGTGATATTGGCCACCTACGCGCTCTACGAAGTCGCCGTGGCGAAAGGTATGCGTGCTTTGCGTTGTGAATCCTCTTATATGATTGCGTTGTGAATTTGTTTGTTAATTTAGCTAGAAAGATATGGAAACATTTTGTCTGTGGGCTTATTTTTTATTAAAAAAAGATCGTCGAAGCAAACTAAATAGATTTTTGTCAGAATAATTTCTAGCTAGTCATTAGAATAAAACTTGGGATTGGTCAATTTTAGGAATTTTGTGAATAAAAACATCAATATGAGGGGAAAAAATGTTTTCTTTTTTACCTTTAAAATGTTAATAAGGTGACCTGATATGATAAAATGGATTGTTCGCCATGATTTGAAAATTTTTTGTGCAATAAATTGGTAGCCTTATAAGTTTAGTACAATTTAATCTTGCAATAATTTCCAAACCTTTTGTAATTTACTCCTAATTAGATCCATCATCATTAAAACCGGGACATCTTGTTGCATTGACAGCAAAAATTTGTTACTATGAGAGATGGTGAATATCTTTAATCATTTGAGTTTTGAATTTGTTAGTATCTATGAAGATTAATCATGTGTTATTACTTCCGCTCAGGAGTATTATGGCTAATGTGTATTTATGGAGGACCGCTGCTGGTGGTCAATGGCTTCATCACCTTAATCAGCTATCTGAACCACTTCCACCCCGACATCCCCCGCTACGATGCGTCGGAGTGGGACTGGCTCCGGGGATCGCTCACCGCGGTGGACCGCGACTACGGCATCCTCAACAAGGTCTTCAACCACATCACCGACACCCATGTCGTCCACCACCTCTTCCCTGCCATGCCTCACTATTACGCGGTCGAGGCGACTCGAGCCATCAAGCCCATCCTCGGCTCGTACTATCGGGTCGACTCCACCCCGATCGTCAAAGCCCTCTGGAGGGAGGTTAGAGAGTGCCTTTACGTGGAGCAGGAGGACGGCGGCGGGGATGGCGGGTCCAAGAAAGGCGTTTTCTGGTTCAAGAACAAGATCTGAGTTTGTACAAATGGTCATGTTTGCAACTATGCTAAGGGTCCTCGTTAAGCATATATGATAATAAAAGATTTGAGTTTTCGGAGGATAATAGTTGATGAAGAAGACAACATTTTTACTGCCTTTTTTTTTACTGAACGTTTATCTTTTGAATAATCAAATTATGAAATGGTAGATGCAATAAAAATGACAACAACAAGAAGAAAAACAACATGAATATGGTTCCCCAATCTACTAACCATGTTGGGGCACTCATTCGAGCTTAAGTTTGCATGTAACCGGATCCATAAGGTTAATAGGGTGTGTCATGAGCCTAGGACTCATTTTCCTAAGATGGAAAAAAATCCAAAAGAAAAAATGTTTAGTCTATAATGAAGTAGTCTTAAGTAAATTTCAAATAAGTTGATACGCTTGATTTGGATGCAACAGATCTTATGATCAATTTATATGATCCGTTCCTCACGATAACCCTACGATCCATATCCGATGCAAGTTGACTGGGAAGTGAAGGTTGTGTGCAGCTATGGGATTGAATAGAGCCGAAATCTCTAGTAAACACATAGTAATTGGCAAGGCAAGGGGAATAATTCCTTTTTCTTTTCCTTGCAAAAGCAAGATGAGGCTAAATTGAGGAAATGGTAAACATTACATTATTATGTATGTAATTTGGAATGTTTTCTTTGCATTTGTGGGATATCATAGGGAATACCAGTGGATATAGTTCAAAAACCCACCAAAGATAATTAGTTGTGATTATGAAGTGCTACGCCAAATGGGAAGCGTAGACGAACCTAAAACAATTCGAGTAACATATGCTGAAAAGTAAAACTGACAAAACGGATTTATTGACCCAACAGATTTATGTGGTTCAATGGTGTGCCTACACCATAGGGAGAGATAGACGAGATGATTCTACTTTAATTAGCGAAAAAGAGATAATAGATGCCCAATCACTCACCAACAAATGTTTCCCAACCCCGGTTACAATTCACATGTAAGTGGTAGTGCGAAAGAAAGAAATCTCACATAAAATGTGTTGAACTAAAAGAAGCAACCGATAGCATTGAGTTAACCCTTCACTCAATTGCTTGTATTTCCCTTAACTCAATGGCTTTTTTTTTTTTTTGGGGTCGAAAACTCAATGGCTCATATATATATTTTATAAATGTGGATCCAACTAGACTGTCAATGGGTTCAAGTTATGGATTTCCTCTAGGATCTTCCCATAGTAAGGTATTGGACTTCTGTGGTATTTTCGCTAATGGTAGTAACAGGGTTGATGGTCGATTAGTAGGCCCTTAATGCTTATCGATATCCTAGAATCAACAAGAATTCTCGTGGATCTTCGCAATTATCGAGTGGAGTTTGCCATCATGCTTTGATCCAGGAGGAGACCATGGGTGAAAGTCATGTTTGCACCGCTTGGGAGAATTGAGATTACATTGATTTGATATACATCAAAATGAAAAGTGCATGAAACAAAATTACAAAAAATTGAAACGTGCAAGGAAACGACAATACAAAGAAACAGAAAGATAAACTTTGATGGAGCATCGTTCTTAAATCAAGATGCATTCCACGACTTGAAATCTTAATTTCATAAACTCTAAGTAGGATCGTATCTGTCACGCCCCGAACCCTACGGATACGAAACATCCCGCTATGATCGTTATGATGCGACGACCCGGGACTCGTCGCCGACCCTTTTCTTTTTATCTTTGAATTACGCAAGCGGAAACGATCACAAACACAACAAACCTCAGACAATAATCAAATCAGGGATAGCAGGGGAAAACCAGTCATAATAAAAGCCATTTTTAATATTTACTTAACTAACCCTGGAAACATACTTACAAGCCCACTTCGGGCGCTACCACAAAACCAGCAAAAAGAGTATAGGCTAGGGTTAATCTACTCCACCAACAGGTTGAACTTCAGAAAAAACCAGCTTCCAAATGCCCTGAACCAAACTGGGTGCGACAACAAGCTAAAGGCTTGAAAAAGGGGTTAACAACAACGAATGAGACGAACGTCTCAATAAGTTAACGGCCTAAGCCCCGCTTAGGAGGCCAACTCGCACGGGGGTCCTTAAACAGGCGAAACGGCAACAACAACATCATTAACAACCACAGGCATCCTCACCTCGCCTTGGTACACACGTTGATGAAATGCATATGTCACATACTCGAAGCATTTAACGAGATTTTCCATGCATTAATGCAACACAGTCGCGCGTGTCTCGATTATAAGGCAAAACCCGCTTGGGCACGTCCCATACCATGCCTAGCAGTTTCTACCCCATAATCAAGCACTATGCATCACACGTATTCCAATTATTACGCCCCCTCGGGGCCACCACACATCAAGCGATACGCAGCAAGATGGCGGTCTACCGGTAAAAACCGGGCTCCGTCCCGCCCCGTCGGGCACGGCTACGTCAAACGATACACAGGATGACGGCATTCCAATACGGCAACATCAAACGATACACAGTAAGATGGTATCCCGTAAGGAGCATCAAGTCCGACCTCGGGCCGCGACAAGGCATCCGGGGTATCGGCACTCCAGATTATCCCCAAGCATCCGATAAATAGGGCAACGTCAAGCGATACACAGCAAGACGGCTTTAACGTGTGACCACACGAGCACACAAGCATTCCGGCCAATTATTATCTTTTTAAATTAGCCCATGCATACATGAATAGTGCTCATCCAATGTCATACAATAATACAAACTAGCCACACATGCAAACAGTCTATCAATCTCGCAAGTTTCGATAACGATACAAGTATTAACCACAAAACATCACTATCAATTCTTGGCATAACAATAAAAATAATTTAATACCAATAATCTCGTAAACTTTCTTGAAAACTTCCGATCAAAACAATTTGTCGTAAAAAAATAATTTTATACGACAAATCACGGCACAAACGCCAACATTCAAACTAGAAATCATAATTTGAAATTATAAATTTTCCGAAATAATAATAAATAAATTCGGAATTTAATTATTTAATAATATCCGAAAATAATTTCTTTTCAAAGAATTCAAAATATTTTCTCGAATCAAAATCATTCAAATAATTTTCTAAAACGCCATCTTATACGGCAAAAACCAACATTGGCATCACAATTAACGTTAGAAAATTTTCCGAAAATAATACTATTTAATTTTCGGAAATTAATTATTTAATAATAAAATAATAATATTTAATTCGGAATTAATTTATTAACTAATAAAATAATATTTAAATTCCGAAAATAATAACATTTCATATAATAATCAATAACAATAAACTAATCAATAACTTATACCCCAAACACAATTAATTAACCACTAACCCACAATTAACACAAACTAAACATAAATTAAACTATCCTAAGCAAGTTTAACGCCCTAAACACGGGATTAGGGGTTAACTTACTCGGCTACTGCCGGCGACGACGCGAGGACGAGGGCGGTCCGCGGTGTCCTCGGGTTGCTCCGGCTCAGGCTCGACGAACGGACGACGAACGGCGGCAAACAAGCACGGCAAAGGGAGCGGTTGATGTGGGCTGCACGGGGGCTGTTCCCAGCGGAAATGGCGGCTGACGGAGGCGGCTACCAACGGCTGGGGGTGCTAGACAGTGGCGGTGGGCGGCGGAGACGGGCGGCGGGCGTGACCGGCGAGAGGCGCTGCTCACGCGAACAGAGGGGAGGAAGGAAAGGCAGTCGGCCGAGGGGAAAGGGCACGGTGGTGGACGGCACAACTGGGCGAGGCGGGCGGCAGCAACGCGCGGTCAGGCGCAGCGTGCGGCTGAGCTGGTCCCGGCGGCGAGTTGCAGAGGAAGAAGCTAAACCAAAAGCAAGAGCGTCGGAGGGGGGGGGGGGGGGGGGAGAAGGAAGGGAAGGAAGAGAAGGAAGGAAAAGAAAAGAAAAAGAAAAAGGGAAGAGGAGAGAGGGAGAGTTAGTGGGGTTGGTGAGGGGATGGGATGTCAGGCACGCAAGGGAGCCGGCGGGAAAAGAGGGGAGGAGAGAGAGAGAGAGAAGCAAAGGTCAAATCGCAATAATCGCGATTCAACGGCCACGGTTTAAATCCGAAAACGATCCGACGGTCCCCGAAAAATCCCAATTAATAATATGGGAAAAGGGCCAAAAGATATTAATAAAAACACATTGCAAGGAAGGTCTACTAGTCCAAATCCGCACCCGATCAAAATTTTACTTTTAATTTATCCCGGGTAACATCGAGGTTGGCCACAATAATATCGACACCGTCCAATTAAACTCGTCCCGAAACCCCGAGAAATTTGACACTAAAGTTTGGGCTCTAAATAACGATCAAATTCGATCGAGTGCGATTCTAGCGAAATCTCAATTTTAAAAACAATAACCGGGAGTGATCAGTTCCCGGGCGAGATTTTACTATAAGCACACTGACGAATTACACGTTTTATAAATCCCAAAAATGGGCCGAAATTCGGAATGTCACAACTCTTCCCCCCTTTTAAAAATTTCGTCCTCGAAATTTACAATTCAACCCAACTATTCAAACAAATGGGGGTATTGGTGTCGCATCAACTTTTCATTATCCCATGTGGCTCCCTCGGTCCCATGATGTTGCCACACAACTTTGACGAGAGGAATCTTATTTCGCAATACCTGCTCTTATCGATTTTCAATTCTCACGGGTCTTTCCACGTACGAAACTCTATCATCCAAGTCGTTCTCTTCGTAGTTCAAAACGTGGGTTGGATCCGGGTCATACTTCCTTAACATAGACATGTGAAATACATTATATACTTGAGCCAACCTTGGCGGCAATGCTAGACAATACGCCAACGATCCAATTCGCTCCAAGATTTCGAACGGTCCTACATATCTTGGGCTTAGCTTGCCTTTCTTGCCAAAGCGGGACGTTCCTCGCATTGGTGATACCTTGAGGAACACATGATCTCCGACCCGAAACTCCAATGGTCTACGTCGCCTATCTGCATAACTTTTCTAACGACTTTGAAC